CAGAAGACGATTATGCTCTCTGTCGTATTCTTCTCAAACGTCGTTCCTCCCGGATACCGGCGATGATTTTGTCGTCGGTGACTGTCTTGTCTACGAGGACGGCGTCTTCGAAGACCCTTTCCTTGAGAATGAGAAGGTGGTCACTCACACGAAGCGGCGGGGCGGGCCCAAGAGAACAGATGTACCCGAGATTCAGCCGGAGAACCTCGTGCCGGAGGAATGGAGGGAGGTTCAGGCGGAAGTGAATCTGACGAAAAAGGACAAGCGAAAAATAGCGCAAGAGATGGAATTTGGGGTTCGGGTGGAGAAGAAGAGGCAAGGGCTGATTCCGCTCAGGAACGTGGACTTGAACGAGTATCTGACTTACAAGGAAGCCAAGTTGAATCAGCTGAAGCCTGTAATTCTCGATAAACCAACCACTTTCTCCGACGATGGAGATGGAGAGACACTATCTCCGAGTGAGCGAGTGGCTCCAAAGAACCCTAGGTGGGCAGTTTACGGCAGGGGATTCGACCATGTTACCAACTTCTTCAATAGCGACAAGTACGATCCCAGTGGCAACAAACCCCAAGGTAATCCCCTTTGTCTATTTGGCTTCCTTCAACTTTCATTGCGCTAATGCCATAAAATTGTGTGAAGAGCAGGGCCTAAGAAGCTGCTTTCAAAAGAAGAAAAGGTGATGCTCAACAGTCGAATCCCTGACCTAGCAGTTGCCACCTCCGTAAGTGATGCTCTCCTTGTGCTTGTTAAGATTTGAATCTTTGGGAGCCTCCAGTGCTTTGTGTAATGATGATGGTCACTCTCTGATCTGATCAAAGTATTATATGTGCTGTTAATGTTTACCAGAAAAAATGGCTTCCTCTTCACACACTGGCAGCATCAGGAGAGTTTTATCTGGTTGATTCCTTGCTTAAGCACAATCTTGATATCAACGCAACTGATGTGGTATGTGGAGCTAAATGCAGCTGTTGCTTTTGTGCACTTGTTTTTTGATGCGTGGGCGTATGTATATCTAGACGTTGTTTTCATGTGCTTTCTAGGGCGGCTTGACAGCACTTCACCGAGCGATAATTGGCAAAAAGCAGGCTGTTACAAATTACCTACTGAGAGAATCAGCAAACCCATTTGTTCTTGATGATGTAAGTGGTGGTCACCTAATTATCTCCCTTTCTTCAGATGCTGGATCTGATCCTTTTGGTTTATGATAGGAAGGTGCAACCTTGATGCACTATGCTGTGCAAACAGCATCAGCTCCAACAATTAAACTTCTCCTGCTGTATAACGCTGATATAAACGCTCAAGACAGGGTATGATGTCAAACATTCATATTGCTCACAAGTTCATTGTTATGGGGTGGTTGACCATTTGGCACTGGGTTTTTCAGGATGGGTGGACTCCCCTGCACGTTGCAGTACAGGCGAGGAGAAGCGACATTGTGAAACTCCTTCTGATAAAAGGGGCGGACATAGAAGTGAAGAACAAGGCTAGTTACCTCATCATCTTCCTTCCCCTA